ACGCCCCCCCCCCCCTCCCCCCCCCCCTTCCCCCCCCTCCCACAAACCCCCACCCCCCCCCCCCCCCCCCCCCCCCCCGACCCCCCCCACACCCCCCCCCCCCCCCCCCCCCCCCCCACAACGCCCCCCCCCCCCCCCCCCCCCCCCCCCCCCCCCAACCCCCCCCCCCCCCCGCTCCTTCCCCAACAACATCCTAACCCCCCCATCTTCTCCCAAAACACTAACCACTCCCCCCCAGGGTCTCGCGCCAACTTTTGCCATTGCCCCCACCCTCCTAACCCAACTCCTCCTAATCGCCTCCACCGACGAGATGAGCAACCCCGTTGCAAGATGGAGGTGGGCTATGCGCATGGGCGCGGTGGGTGATGATGATGAAGGAGGCTTGGTGGGAGTGGGTTGGGTGCTCTGCTTGTATCAGCTATCATTGCTATCTCGGCTTGAGATGTATGGTGGAGGTTGGTGAGTTTTGGCTATTGGTTTTTTTGGAGACATTGACGTGTGGCGGATCGATTCTAGTTGTCGGACCTGGATCTTAAGTAGGGATTTCATCTATTTACTAGTGTATATGGTAGTTGACGAGGCGAAAGATTGGGGATTTGGCGAATGAGGTTTGCGAATCTACTGTTGTCTAATATTTGCAGGCTGATTACCTTGGGTTTTATCGATCGCTCTTTAATGAATATACTCTATGCGTTTGTCTGTAAAATCTTGCCTTGATATCACCGTTCCCCTTAAACCGTTGAAATTTAAAACGCCAGAGCTGGGATGGGAGGGAAATTTGTCAAGGCTGGGATGCATGAAATCATCGCTGTGGAGAACGACCCACTGTGTGGAGAATGAACACAATGGACGCAGTTTATTTAAGGGGAGATGACAACTCCTAGTAGACAGGCAAGCAGTCCATCAACTAGTCTATCCACATATATGACCATCTTGCTACTGCGTGAACTGTTGGGGGATACGTGATTAATGACGGATGAGGGGCGTGAGAGAGTAAGGCGATAGGCAGAGGGAAAGAGGTGGTGGACAGTAACGAGAAGATGGGGGCGACGACGAGAAAAGGGTGTGATGGTAAACTACTGGCGACAGGTAATACCCCGGTGGTGAGAAAAGGGGGTGACGACGAGAATATTAGGGGTTTAGCGAACTCGGTCTTAGTTATCCATATACCTGCCGTACGACTTCGGGTCCAAGTGCTGTTGTTGACAGGTATACTTGTCATCACAGCCTTCGTATAGAGTGCCTTGAGTTTTCACTAGGCGCCATTATTGTGGTATTTATAGTGTTTTCATCATTAGTGATATTGTTCGAGCGTATGGGATTCTATTTTATGGCGTAGGTGTTGCACGTGCATTGGCCTGGTGAGGGTGGTGAAGTCGGGGTTATCCTATTATAAGGTATTTAACTTTTGAATACAGGAACTAGGATGGGGGAGAGATTGGGCAGGGCTGGGGCATTCGGTGTCTTCCCTGTAGATGCGGTTCACCGTGTGGGAATACCCACGATGAACATTTGTATATTTAAGAGGGACGTGACAACCCCCAGAGTATAACCAACTAATTAACCAACCACAATGGCACCCCTATCTTTCCGTTACGTGAACTGCCGTGGAACATGTGATCGATGACGCGCGAAGGGGATGAGAGAGCAGGACCATGAGTAGAAGAGAAGATGGGATTACTGGTGATGATGGTATGGCTGATGACGAGAAGATGGGAACGGCAATGAGAAAAACGGGCATGACGGCAAGATAAGCCAATGGTAGCAGGAAACAGGACAACGGCGAGAAATGGGCTAGGCTGGACTGAGAAATAGAAACAGATAACGACGGGGAAGGAGGATCTAGATATTCCAAATAGAGACGAAACACAAGTCCCAGCACTCTATTCCTCGCTTTTGTAGACTCGTGAGATTTCGTACCACCAAGATGCAATGCGCTCCGCAGCCAATTGTTTATAGAGGTGAGATGGGTGTGTGAAGATGCACATAGGATGTCACATAGGATGTGGATGGAAAGGAAAATTTTAAGGAGTTTGATTTCATCATAGTCGATGTGGCTCACCGTGTAGAAGAAAATCCCTAGACAGCACTGATGATAATTTTCCTCTAATATCTACGGTGCCTAAAGCAGCAAATGCCCTTCCCAACGATATCACAGACAGGGATGGCCTCACCAACTCGCCCAACGTGGCTCAAATCCATGGATAAAGGAAAATCTGAAGATAAGGGAAGTTGATGTATACTCCATTGAGAATAATCAATGGTAGGTGTCGCATACACGGCAATCCAGCAAGAGCAATTAAATCAATGTAGCTTAAGATCTTCTAGTAACATGTCTATCGCTATTATATGCTCCCTTCATGCTATTTACAACCACACATATATCTAGCAACCACTCACAGCGCCGCAAGCACCCCTATCGCCGCAGCGATTAACCCTCCCTCAACCCTGACCTTAACCGCGCCTCCCGTGGACGTCGCCAATGGAGTTGTCACGCTGCCTCCCGTCGTAACAGCACCAGGTGGCGTAAATCTAACATTATCGACATTTGTAAAGCTGCTCTGGTGCTGCACGGCGCTCCCCGTAATCTTGCCCGCTACCGGAGCAGTCGGGCCAGTCCAGTAATTCGCCACGCGCGTATCGTTGGCGAAGGGGTCGGGCGAGACCGTGTAGTCAAGAAATGGACCGGTTGACGTGTTGACCGTGAACAGGTTGGTGTAGCCTTGGGTCACGGGCGAGGCCGAGCACTCAGCCGAGCTATAGCTAGAAACTGCGCTAGAATATGAGGCAAGGCTAGATGGCGTGACGACCAAACCATGCGCAATTAGGCAGTCGTAGCAAGCGGAAAGGGCCTCAAAGTAATTGCCACCGCAGAGGCACTGTTGCTCGGCGATGAAGTCGTTAGTGGTGGTGCCGTTGGCGAAACACGTCCGCTCGAGGTAGATTCTTTGCTCGCAGGGAAAGGGAGAGGTGGCCATTGCGGCGACCCATTCGGCCTCTGGTATGCCTCCTTCCACGTTAGCATTAGCATTAGTGGGAAGGCACATCGAGTTCAGATATATGCGGTTTGGGTAGTTTTCAGCGTAGCTACCCGCAGTGACAGTATTAGCGCCGGCGGCCAGGAGCGCGACGATGGGTAGGATTGAATGCATGATTGGCGTAGTTTTCAAGAATTGCAATTGTAGCTGAGAGGTAGCAAGTTGCTGAGTTATTTGTGACGAGAAATAAAGCTGGGGGGATACCCTGCTCTTTATTTAGTGCTCGTTGCATTGGTAACAGTGGATGCTCGCTACATTTAGCCGCTTAATATTGGATTTTGTTGGATTTCCCCATTCGGCCACGGCGAACCTCTTGGTATTCCGACATGTGCAACGTACGGAAACGCCAAAGCCAGAAAGCATCTCGAAGAAGAAGCATCTTGACCAACAAGGTATATAAGTATGGAAAAATTATACGGCGCAGATGTTGCTTTGATCATCTACTATCCCCCCTGTATGATTATAACGACCCGCAAAAGTATTGCCAGAGCTTGGCAGGATCGCTCACTAAAGCTGAACGGTATTCCGCCTAACTTGGGTGCGGTGAAGCTGTAAAAATAGTGGATCGTTACAATCATACAGGGGGGGGGGGGAGGGGTAGTATCAGAAGGGGCACAGCCGCATCCGTAGTCTGTCATGGCATCTCCATAATATCTCATCGGCGTTGCCACGTCTAGTACGGCAGTTGTGCTAGGCACGCTAGGCAAGCATCTCACCACAGGGTAAAGTCACATGAGAGGCTGTTTATTTATTGGGCGATTTAAAGTCTCATCCTTCCTGGACTTGAGTATATTACGCATTGAGGACACTACTCAACGTCGACTACGACTGTAACTCCCACATGCGACTACAGACCAGAAAGAATTGGGCACCCCGTCCGCTCTGACATACACAGGTTTAAGTAACATCAGATTCATGGTCTCAATCGTGCCAATAGGCATGCCGTGCGTGGAACCTAAGCCCGGTGCCTCCTGTTTTCAGGAAAACAGCCTTTATCTTTATTAAACACAGCTGACATGGCCTTGTAGTAAACCAGGTAACTTATTTATAACTATTTAACATCTACCATTCAAACGTGCCCGCTCCTTCGTCTGCAAACTTTCGTGCTGGGCCATGACCTTGTAGTGTTCCTTCTCAAAATCCACATATTCATCAGTCTTGCCGAAGTTTGCTGCAAACGCTACTATATCGCGGGTTGTGACAGCGCCTAGTTTTTTTTTTTCGTTGCATCCTCGTCTAGAGAATATATATTAATATTAGGGACATGCTCGTAAACTTTGATCTTCGTCACCGCGACGAGACCCCGTTTCTTTTTAATGGCTTTGACCGCGCCGTCCTTTCCGGTTCTAACCCCTACCAGCTCACCCTGTCGGATCTCTATGGCAGCTTTGTGGCACACAGCGAGCCTCTCCCTGAAGTGCTTGATATTGTCCCATTTTTTGTCCGTTTTCTTTATTTCGTAGGCTAGAGAAGGGTCATAAGTACGTGGATATAATAGAAGCAGTAGGGGGAATTACGGACCGAAATCCACAATCGTCGTAATTTTACCCAGAAATTCGGAGAAGATAGTGGTTGAGCCTGCAATTATCTTCGGTAGTGGTAGTGACTTGAAGAAACTTTTCTTTTCATCCCTAGTTGCACGGTTATTTACATAGTTGACGACAATATGCGGGTCTGGGTCGTTGAGGTCCTGCACTGCGCCTTAAACGTGCTGTCGACTGCTTCGATTCCGAGGAATTTGGCCATCTCCAAGAAATTTGCACCGCCTAACGGGTGCGAGCCGCTCTCGATTCCCGGTAAGATTTTTTTCTGTCGTTGCCCCAGGTTTGGATGGCGATACGGTACGTTTGATATATGGGTCCAACTTGCTCATGGACGCCCGATGTTCCGCCTGCAATGGCCGTAGGCAGCGACGAAAGAGTAACGATGAGGCATACAAGCCGGCCCGAAGAGGCTGGAGAAGAGCATGGTGTGAGAGACTTCAAGGCAAACAAAGCCTTAAGTTTCGAGGAGCGTCAAAGATTTGGGAAATCAGAAGGCTAAAGAGTAGAAAAGGCGACTTGACTGAAGGAGGGGGGAACGGATGTAGTCAAAGACACGAGTGCTTTAATTGCAGCCACCCCTACTTGGCAAAATAGAGGTAATTTCACATTCCAACATCGTATCTAAAAGATGACCTGCTAGATGTGGGTAGTGAGGGTGGGACAGTATGTGCCAGACGTTTGATTTGAATGTATCTAGAAGTCACCTAGAGGTTACCTAGGCTAAATGAATAACATCCATGTTAATTAAAATTAAACACATATCGGATAGTCCACAAAAAAAGAAAAAAAGTACTAACAGGTTCATGGCATGGCCTATCGTTATACCTAGGGGTGATGGTTACTCGAACGAGCTACGGTACGCCGCCAACTCGCCGCGAAAGGTAATTACGGGTCTGTGCGTAAATAGGTGTACTCGAGTAAACACTAGCTAAATTGTTTTTGCTGCAAGTGGTTGGGTGCACAGGCCCGCTAGTACGAATATCATTTTTTCTCCGCCACACTTTAACTTTATTAAACTCCTGTCAGGGGAGCTGTCAGGGAGCCGGTCTCGGGAAGCCCCGACGCCCCACTAGTGTGTCACTTTGTCCCCACTTACATCCAACAAAATGCTGCATACTTCGTATAGTCCAACAACAGCAATATAACATCCAACATGGAGCATGGTTATAGTGGATGATGCATCGCCAAGTCCCGAGAGCCCCGAGTAGGGTTCGAACCAATAGTGTGTCAATAGTGCAAAAGTGTGCAGATTCGCGTCCCTTATTATCTGACTAGCTAATACCCCGACAGATTAGAAACGTCTGATTCTGCCTCCCCATTATCCACGTACACGTTTGCCGATGCAAACTTCGTGAAGTGCTATACTCAAGCATACAATCATAGCCGCAATGGACCTAATAACATGTCGCCTTGGTCAAACGGACTTTAGCTCGGTTGACTGCGAGTCAGCGCTGAAGGGCCAGAAGCTGCCGGAGAACCTAGGACACCTGACTGTGCGGCTTTGCCTAATTAGCGGAATCCGTCATCACCTAGCCTTTGCCCGCTCACTCGAGGTCACGGATCTGTGTCGCACGACGGGGCAGGAGATCTTTGCGCGCGCCCGTAATGCGCGCCTCATTATGAGCGACGAGGTGCCTGGCAGTGAACTGATGGGCAACAAGGCGTTCTATCCCTACTGCATCTGGCATCCTGATGTGGCCAGCGAAGGAACCTACCGGAAGCTCGCCGCCGCCTGTCCCGACATGCGATACCAGGTCGGCCGGGCTTGCGCGGTGGCTGGTTACGACCAGCTGTATCGCGAGCTCGATTTGCTCCCCGACCCTTGCATCGCCGAGGAAGCGCGGGAGGCGAGTCGCGACAGTGACGGATCTCGGCACATCTTCGAGCAGATCATGGCTGCGCCCCTGCGCTATAGCGTCATGAACGACTACGACCTCACGGTCGAGCTAGACAGGCCCAAGCCTGGCGCTTTTCTCAACGCCGATACGGCCGTGCGTGCCACACTCAAGGAACGCCAGGTATTTGCACCGTTTTTTAGATCGAAGAGATACTTCAATATCAACGAGGACTGGGGCATCGGCCCGGAGACTGTGAAGCTTGAGATAGCCAGGCTCACTGACGATGAGGCCGACCTGCTCGTATCCCCGCTGCCGTTCGATCTCCCGACCATGACCAAAGATCTGCTGATCCTAATGTCCGCCTGCGAGGGCAACGTCGATCGCTACGTACGCCTCCGCCGCAAAGGCCGCAGCGTGCAGTATGAGGTGCAATGTCTAATACCTGGCATCTATCGTAGCACAGCCATGGCGTTCTGGCTAGATCGCAATCCAGACGTCATGCACGAGGTCGCGGCTGTATGTGACGAGGACTTGGTCGTGGAACTGCGGAGAGGTATTTACGCACGCCACATCATGAACAATGCTACGCACCACCTCTTGGATGCTGATCCGCCTGTCCCCGACGACGAGCTGCCATACTGGATTTGGTATCCGACTATACCATCACCCTACACTCTATGTAAGCTTGCAGAGGCGCGGCCGGCCATGCGTCCGCAGTGTGTGCGAGCTTGCATCGCCGGCGACTACTGCGAGGCGTACACCAAAATCATGGACATGCCTGACCCCAACACCGACATGCCCGTCGACCCAGACGACACAGACGACCCAGACGAACATATCCCTCTACCGGCGGATAGCTTCCTCATCACGGAGGCCGAATCTAGCCGATTCCGGGACTTCTTCCTGCAAGACATGGAGCAGCGCCGGGAGGAGCGAGGGCTCAAGCCACAGTTTAATAAGCACGACGATTGGAAGATACTGTCCCCGTGGCATTGCGGGGACCCTAGCAGCACTATACTGTATGGGAGTCTACCTGATGTGGGGGGTTGTATCGCACAGCTAGGTGGCCTAGATTTTGGCATGTGGGGCTATTGGGGGGCGGAGTTAGGGTCCGTCAGGCTGTATCTTAGCAATAGAGGAAGTGCGCATTCCGTGCCCCATGAATTATCCATCGTATTGGAGTAGTACCCTAGAGCAGTAATAAAAATTAAGGGCCAATGACCCCTCAACACCTTGCTAGGACATTTGTTAGTTTCCCCGTCCTATAATCCTTCCAGAAAGCGTTCTGGACCGTTTAGCCATCACGCGCGCATGCACCCCTTACATTGGTTAGTTAGATACATGACTAATAGCATAGATTTAATGCCTGGGTAAGTTTCTACTTAGCTCCTGTTGGTTTTTAGCACATGCGGGGTGAAAATTTCGTGTAGTGTTAGCAATGTTGCCGAAATAGGGAACCCACGCCAAATTTGTATCCGTATACTAGTGCGGTTAGTGCCTGACAGCAAGTGAGAACCCTGGCTGTCAGGCCGCTCTGTTAAGCTAGGGGGAAAATCCTGGAGTGGGCACACCGTCGGTTAGATCCGACGCCAACTCTAATATGCTCCACTTAATCCGTCTACTTTGTATGTCTAGAACCTAATGGGCGCTTTATATTTTGCTCAAATTAGACAGCTCTTATTTATTATATTATTAGCTTTTTATATACTTTATACTAAAGATAGGGTTGGAATTTCAGCACCACTAGTTAGTTAAGAGCTGACTGTTAGTTATGCAGGCTAGGATTTAGCCAGTGGTTCTTTTCTAGCTTACCCTGCTCATACCACTCAAACTGCTCATCTTGCTTACCGTTCGCACCCACTTACCTAGCTCACCTGCGGACATCCAATGGTCGCGGTGCAATATGTCGTAGTGTAATATGTGTTCCAGTCCACCCCCAAATTCTCCGCTGAGTATCAATATATCGGCTTCCTATTATGACATGGTCTCAGGCGGGGACCACTAGCAATAGAAGCTCGGCGGGAGGCTTCACATCCATCGTTGCTCGAAGCTGTAATCTCCGTAGAAATATCCGTTGGTATTTACAGCGAATTATGAGAGAGGCATTGCTCGCTTGGAGCTGGGGACGTAACAGTACCATTAGAGCTATTCTCGTCTGACGTTGGCGACCAGCTTTGCGCGCAAAGGAAGAGGAACGGCTCTCCACAGGGCAACTCCACTGGCTGTTCTGCGGATGCGGATTACATACCAAGGAACATATATCCTGAATGCGTAATGTAGAGGCTCTTCAGATTCCAACGGAGTGCTACGCGTAGTCTATTCAACGTTTGATCCTCCTCCGCAGACCCAGGCTTAACGCAATCATGCAATACCTCAAGGACTCAGTCCGCAAACCGATGCATAAAAATGACAAATGCGGCGCCATAAAATAGTACCAGAAGTATATGTCGACGCTCGGTAAGTCTAGATCGCCGAGTTAATTCCAGCCACCGCCCGCTTGAAGACATTGTCACAACGTTTTACAGAGCAGTTATACTCTGCATCTTCTGCGTGGTGATCACGCCCCTTATAATCGTTTGGCAGTAGCATCGCACGATGGTGCGGGGCTAGGCTCTGAAAATTTTGAGGCAGTGCCCCGCCGTAGTTCCAGCGCGCCCGGTAACGATAGCCAACACGAGTCCGTGAATGATTAGGATAGAGCGGATATATTCAACAACTGTTCTGTGATCCTCATCATGCATGTGACAGATAGATCCAAGTGCATCCCGAATTAGATAAAAGAATGCATCTAGAGTGTCTGGAATTGCAGTCTTATTGAGGAGGCGCTAGGCTACTTTCCTAACATGATCGTTGGGAATGAACGGGTTTAGACCATTTGTTTCGCCATATTCTTGTTTCCTACCACGGCTGATAATGTGAAAGACATTTGCTACGACCTTCTTTCCCTTGTCAGAGTTCCGCGTGCTTGCATTAATTGTAAGACACGGTGCTGCTTGCATCTTGTTGTACATTTCACCCTCGGGACCAATTCCTTCTCCACAAGCAATCTTGGTTCCTCTGAGATTTTGGGTCGGGCCATCCTAATAACGACAGATCTAGGTTGGACCCAGACTGGGACCCCAAGAACGATGCAGTGCCACTCTGGTTCTGTAGAGTACTCAACAGTATTGAAGCAAATATGAAGGACGTCATCGCTGCTAAGACGAGCCTCAACGGTGGGATTATCGCGGTTGATTGTAAGCTGGCCATATAGATAGTTTGGCATTCTGGGGGCTACGTATGGTCAATTCTTGCCATTTGATGCGTCGATCTCAGACGACTCTGGTAATGTCTTTGGGCGCTTTAGTGATAATGCTACATGACCTGTGCGTAGTTAGGTAGGATTCCGGAGAACAACACCATGCCACTCTACCACGGATGTGTTCCGCTGTGTGTCAAACGGAGCTTTGACGACGTTTCCAGCCACGAATCAAAGTTGGTATGGCTTCTCTGCATCTTCTGCTGTTGCTCCTTGCCATACTCCTATCGGCGGCGGGTATTTCGCAGGATAGAGCTTGCGGATGAACGAGCCTTCGATGGTCTCATGCTCGAATTTAGTCTAGATGGCGCTGAAAGCGTCTTGGAATTAGAATAGTTCGCCTTGATCACATCGTCGGCCACAAACCTAAGCTGATAGGGATCATTGGACATCATCTGGATTCATATGCAGCTAGGCATAATACACCTGCCCAGAACCTCTGACATGCAGCAAGCGGATCTCGTAGGGAAGCTCACTGAAGCGCTGAGCTTACTTCATCTTTTGGTCCGACATTTGAACGCATCCTAGGCCCTTACGCGTCGTAAACCCCAGGAGATTGCAACATGAAGTGGCGGAGTAAGTGACAATGGTTGAACTGATCTAGTAGAAAGAACGGAGGAGCGGATGATGACGGGTGGTATTTCTTGTCGACGCAAATCATCTGAAAACGCCCCATTAATAAAACTTCATATACGAGCTTCTTCGTCGCACATAAACTTTGCCCACTTGTTATTGAAGGCGAACTGCGTGTTGCGCGCGCCGCACTCGTGTGGGCAGCCCGAATGCTCATGACCGGTACGCTAATGATGAACACCTAATATATGTGGTAGAAGATTCTATGTTTTCTTAGCTTTCTACTCCCTCCTTATCAGCTATTTTCCTAGCCCTTACTTCCCCCGTGGGGTTTGTGTGGTTAATGGATACTATTCTTCCATCTGCCGCAAGCTTAATTAAGCCCATCGGAACGGTTTTGGGAACCGGTCTATCTGCCATTTCCAAGTGTGAAGGTACGCAGGTTATAGAAGTTCGAGAAAACGTACAAGTATAGAAAGAGAGTAAGCAAAAAATAAGGTGTGGCTGTTGTTGACCAACAGGAGGTGAAGTTGAAATGTTACTAAAAGCTTCACAAGTAGTAGCGCACTACTAGTTCGACTTTAGAGGTGAAGTAATATTCCATCATTCTAGCTACATCTCTGCAATGTGCCTGCTATTTAAGATTGTTTCCATGGAGAAGCTGCGTCCATCGTCTGCACCTCTTCCTAAATCCCCCAAGCAAATCCCTGAGCATCTGAATAATGAGAGCTTGTTGCGTGATGACCCATGAGAGTTTGGATTAATGCCATTATGAATACACACCGCGTTTGTGGTTTACGAAGATGCATAAGCGCGTGTAGGCGGGAAAAATCCATATACGGTGCCAGGAGAGACGACGATGGTGAGGACTGGGCTATCCTTGGAAGAAGCCATATGTGTTTCGAGTAGGCAGAACAAACCCAGGTTTGAGGACGGAAGAGAAGGTAGTATCCTCGAAATAAGCTCCCAGCGTAACCGTAGCGGGAATTGGTACGCAATAAGGAGTCTCGGGGATGGAGGAGACCACATCGGGGATATTGGCATCGAAACCGTCGACAATTCCCGGCCTGGGAGATGCCCCTTTGTTGCATCGAAGGTCCATTGATGATCGCAATTGCCTTGGGAGAGCGGGCGGCTTCTCCCGGGCACTTAGAGCGCGTCTTGCGTCTCTTCCACATGTCCTCCATTGTGGTACCGGCTCTCCATCATCATCGTATCTCGTGTAGCTTTCTGCATGTCCGTGTGTCGCTGTCACGTCGGGAGTATGCGCTCTTCCCCAAGCGTGTCCTTGAGAACGCGGATAATAACCCTCTCGAAACAGACGGACTGATTGCTTTGGATACCGAGTTAGAAAGCCAATTACGGGTTAGAGCGGAGGCCTACATTTTGAATATGGCAGTGCCTTAGGTTCTTCTTCTCGAGAACGGCAAGTTTGCGCGGTCTGATGAGAATATCTAACTCTTTCGTACACCTCTGGTATGTTCACGCCGACGACTAGATACGTAGAACCCCCCCAATAGTCGGGCCAACACGGGTAGATGAGGAAAAGGAGAGAGATGATACCCAGCTAGCTAAGACAAGGAAACAATTTAATTCGTACGTATTCAGTTAATTCTTAAACTCCTCAGGCCCAGTTCTACTGTCGTCGGCGTTGGTTTGTCGTCCATATTAAATGGGATGGGTTTGAAATAAATAGACCATATAGCCATAAGATAATTTCCCAATTAGGCGGGATAGCATCTGTTCGTGCTTTGTGGCATCTTCTGCATCAAGTTCCCACGCACCGAAATAGCGCATAAGGCAACGATGCCATGGAAAACCGTTTTAAAACAATCCATGGTATAAGGCTTTCGAAAGCCTGATTGTGCCTTTCCATCGTCAAGGCGATCGAGTACACCGCGCTATAGAGGCTTGAAGAAAGTGACTCTGACAACTAGACCAAAGCGCTCCGTCTACGTTGGTATTTCTACCAGTTTGATAATGTAAATTGTTGCATATACAAATCGTATAAATTCCAAAAAAAATGCAAAAACCCCAAAAGTGAAAAATATATAAAGACCCCAACAATCTCAGTGGATATATAGATTTTGAAGAGCGTTCGTTCGTTATATGAGGAAAGTGCCAAGCCATCCATCCAATCGGCAGCAAAAAAGCCCTATCCCCACACCAAACATGCAAACCCTCAAGTCCCACAATAACCGAGCATCGACCACAAAAAAGGGGTTCTATAGTGTAGTTGGTTATCACATCGGATTCTGATTCCGGGGACCTGAGTTCGAATCTCGGTAGGACCTGCCGTTGGTCAATTTACAAAACCCTTTATTTTTTGTCTAATTTTTTTAGGTTTTCATTTTTTTTTATATCGATTTCAGAAATTTTAGGTGATTCAAAGACACAGAATGCGGAGGGATTCGACCATAAAAAGGGGTTCTATAGTGTAGTTGGTTATCACATCGGATTCTGATTCCGGGGACCTGAGTTCGAATCTCGGTAGGACCTGCCGAACGGTCAATTTACAAAACCCTTTATTTTTGCTAATTTTTTGGTATAACGTGGGTGGACATGACCCTGCGCACGACAGGACCCTGCGCACTTTTCGCGAATTCCCCACCCTCTTACTTTAGAACGCGTTTTATCCACCTTCCACTATGTTAGTTATTACCAAAGAAGCAAAAATCATTCTAGCTATCGAGGCTATTCGAACGTCTAGAAAGCTAAGCCGTCGAGCTGCTACAAAGCTCTATAAAGTTCCCGAATCGTCACTTAGGCTTAGAATGAACGGCCACCTTCCCCTCCCCGAGCGACGGCCAGCAAATATCAAATTGTCCAAGTTAGAGGAGGAAGTGATTGTTCGGAATATACTTGAGCTAGATTCTAGAGGGTTTGCACCCCGGCTAGCTAGTGTGGAAGATATGGCCAATTTTATTCTTGAATCGCGTGGGGGGACGCGTGTTGGAGGCCGCTAGGCACAGCGGTTTATACAACGACAACTAGCCCTTAAGACGCGTTTTAATCGCGTTTATGATTTCTAAAGGGCCTTATGCGAAGATCCTAAGCTAATTGGCGCGTGGTTTCAACTAGTGGAAAATATAAGGGCAAAATACGGGGTTTTAGACTGCGACTTCTATAACTTTAACGAAACTAGCTTCATAATGGGTGTGATTTGCCCTACAATGGTTGTAACCTATGCAGATTGACGTGGCAGAGGCAAGGCAGTTCAGCTAGGGAATTAGGAATGGGCTATAGCAATTGCTTATATTAATAGTAAAGGCTAGAGTGTTCCTCCATTTCTAGTAGTTTAGGGCAAGAACCACCTTTTAAATTAGTATATAGACGGTGGCCTCCCACCTAACTAGGTTATCAAACCGACAAGTAATGGATAGACGAATAATGAGACAGGTCTAGAATGGCTAAAACACTTCGATAAACACACTACTGCTCGTGCAAGGGGTCCATATCGAATACTAGTCTTAGATGGGCATAAGAGTCACAAATCGGCTAAGTTCTAAGAGTACTGCAAGTCACACAACATTATAACTCTTAGACTACCTTCTTACTTGTCTCATTTAACCTAGCCACTTGATGTCGGGTGCTTTAGTGTGTTAAAGCGGGCGTACGGTCGGCAGATTGAGACGTTTATCAAAGCCTATATTAACCATATCACGAAGGTAGAGTTCTTTCTAGCCTTTACAGCAGCATACAAAGAGTCAATGACAGCCCAAAACTGTCAGGCTAGATTCCGTAGAGCTAGCTTAGTGCCTTTTGACCCGCAAGCAGTGCTTTCAAAGCTTGACGTGAAGTTACGAACTCCAACTCCCTCTAGACCCTCTACTGCTAACACTACCCCTTAGGTCTCCTAGACCCCTTCTAACCCAACTGAGGCTCTTTCACAAACAACACTTGTTCGAAATCGGATTGCCCGTCACTAAGGGAGCTCGCCAACTCCACTTTTTGAGACAGTTGTTGCGCTAGCAAAGGGTACAGAGCGACTAGCCTATAAGAACACCCTTCTGTCCGCTAAGGTGCGTACCCTTCAAGCGGCTAATAAAGCCCTTAGCAAACGCCGTAGGGCTAAAAAGGCTCGTGTCCGTGAAGGGGGTGCACTTATAGTAGAGGATGCACAGGATATTATTGTACAGGAGGACGTAGATGAGCAGATACGACGCGACGTACGTGCGGCAGGGGGTAGTCGTAGGGAGGGGCAACAGTCTAGGCGGCGCTGTGGGATCTGCAGAAAAGCCGGTCATAACGTACGAACTTGTCAAGAAGCTGTAGATATATCTAGTTCATCTGATTCCTTTTAGTTATAGTTAATTTAATGTGTTGTGGTTGATTTATTAATATTCAAAGTTTAATGCCAAGGAAAAGTGCGCAGGGTCCTGTCGTGCGCAGGGTCATGTCCACCCACGTTATATATATTTTTTGGGGGGATTTTGGACTTTGGATTGAAAGGGCGTGCTGGGCTGGGGGATTATATAGAGGAGTGGGCGCGACGGTTGTGGGTGGTGGTAGGGTTATCGATACAAGGACAATCAATGGGAGCGGAACTTGGCAAATCTACACAAACCCAATGTGACCGCACAAACTGTATAAGACTGAACAGTGCCATGCGTACTGTAGCCGCCTGGTCAAACATCACAATGCGAGGCTGAAGGAGCCATGGGAAAACTCGACAGGAAGATCCTCACAGACAATCACCGAAATTAAAACCAGGTAAGCCCACAACAAACCGATTTTCCCCTGCTCGACACAGCCCACCCCCCATCTTCTCGGCGGCATCAATCATACCTCTACGCGGGAACACCAAACAAAAAAAATCAGAACCCACGCTGGCGCAGGCGTTTATACAAGAATCGGCACACACAAACGCGTTGTGATCACGTCGCCTCGCTCCATATCAAACACCCCCAGGACATGGAACCAAGGTGCGTCAAATCCGAGGGGAAACCCCTACTGCCGGAAAAGAGCATACTCAACAAACCAAACGGCATGATCACAAAGGTAAGTCATCATCCCATACCGAGATCCCCATGACATACAGCAGCAGGGAAAACATACTCCCTCCCCATCCTCCCTCCCCACCACCAGCTCGAAGCTTCCCCATCTCCGCACTCCACAACCCCCCTCCCTAAATCCACGCAACAACCAAAAATCCCACCCATCCACCTCATGCGATCTCCATACATAACTCCCCCATCCCCCACACAAACCATCTCGCGCCACCAACCAGATGGTAAAATCTGTTGGAACAGGAGCGTGGCGCGGACGACAACGGGGGTTTAGTTTGAGGTGGGGTTCATTACAACACACGCGCACTACGCATCAACATCATTTCAGAGAGTAGACAGCTCAGCAGCGGTGATGAGATGATCCGGCAGTGACGAGAAGGCCTAGGACGACAGCGAGATGGCGAACGAGAAACCCCCGTTTAACAACGAGAAAAAAAAACACGAGAGACAGCAGACAGCAGACAGCAGACAGCGGGTAAATATCATCAACTGCAGGGGGGAAAAACCCCCGCGAACTGACTTCCGTATAAACAAAAACAAAACCAAAAAAAAACTCCCACATGCCACAAGCATCTTATTTCCATTCTCGATGAGGTCTACTGCTGATTTGACCTAAGGAGACGGGATTCTTCGAAGCGTTGTCACTGCTTTATAGACGATTTTTTTTAACCGTCCCCGTGTCGCTCATCGCTCATCGTCGGCGGGCGATGTTGTGATGGCTAGATGCGGGTTATGGGAGGAGATGGTAAATATATTTTTCGCTCCCTCTTAAGCCATCGTACGAGTAAATATAAATGATGATGACGCCCTTGAAAGAGCTAATAAATAGTATGATAATCCCATTAAATACACCCCCATATGAACCCTATTCTACAACAATCCCCCATTCCCCTCCCAAACAAAATAAATTAAAGTAATCTACAACCCCTTTTTCCCGCAACTAGTTAGTTACCAACCTTCTCCCCCTCCACCACCTCCCCCCTCTCAACCGGCTCCACCACACTCTCAACACTACTATCAAACCTCTCCGCATCCTTCAAGCTCTGCTCCTTCCCCAACTTCGGATTCCTCGTGAGCAACCCAAACACAATCAACGGCACACTCAGACAAATCCCCGTAATACACAACAACCTCTGCGTCTCCTGGTACGACGCGATGACCGCCCCCCGCTCCGGCGTACCAACGGGAAACTCCTCAATGAACGCGAACGGGTTGCCGTACGCGCTGACGGCGAGGGCAGCGTCCGAGGTGACGAGGGAGAGATGGGAGGCCAGCTTGCCGGGGAGGACTTGCGTCCAGATAGCGCCGGAGATGGCGTTGCCGAAGGCGCCGCCGACGTAGTAGTTGGCGAGGTAGAGGCCGGTTATGACGGCGACGTCTAAGGGGGAGGGGGTTAGTTTAAGCTACTTGGTAGAGATGGTAGGGAGAGTGGGGGGGGGACTTACGCTCGTGCTTGGTGGCGGCTTGGATACTGGCCTGTGCGGTGTAGGGGAACAGACCACCTGCGATACCGAGGAGGACCTGTGCGCCAATAATACCGGAGTGGTTTGCGCCACCGGTGCCGCCACGGTAGTGGATGAGCAGACCGAAGGCGACGGTGAAGAGGGCGGTGCCGGCAACGATGAAAGGCTTGAGGTAGTGGACGAAGCGGACGACGATACCGGTGATCAACCCCGTGATGACGGAGACGAAGCTGTACAGCGATGTGATGCGCGTAGCCGACTTAACGGACTCGCCAAACGCCACAATGAGGACGGTGTACAGGTAGTCACCCTGCATGTACCAAGCCGTGTTGAGCATGATAGCGACGAGCAGGGCGCTCCAAACACCGCGGTCCTTAAGGAGGCGGAAGGGGACCATAGGGTGCTTGCAGTTCTTCTCCCAGAGGATGAAGACGGGAATAGTGAAGACGCCGATGACGAGGGGCGCGATGATGTGCGCGGTCTTCCAGGTCTCCTTGACGCCGCCGGCGAGGGTGAGGGGAACGAGAATGAGGGAAAAGACGGCGATGATGAGGATGATGCCTACGACGTCAAGTTGCAGGAATAGCTCGATGAGGAACTGCTTCCAGCCGAGGGCCTGGAAGGGCGTCTTGAAGGAGGCGAGCTTGCCGGCGCGGTCGGCACGGCGGCCGGCCAGGAGGAGGGTGATGAGGAGGGGCATGGCACAGACGGGGAAGATGAGCGCCCACATGCCGACACCCCATCGCCAGCCTGCTTTTGCCAAGACAGCGGCGGTGACATCACCGCTGACCCAGGTGTTGATCTAGTCATGTGAGTAGGTTGGTCGGGTAGAGGTGGCGGGGGAGGAAGGGGACTCACGAGGAATGGGGCTGCGGGGAGGTATGAGAAGAACAGACGCGAGCGGAGAGATGTCAGATCCGCGATGAGGACTTCAGCGAGGAGCATGATGACGGTGTAGCCAACCTGTGCTGGTTAGATGTGTTTCGTATGGGAATGATGGGCAGGGCATACCTGATACAGCACCGCGCCCGCCGCGAAGGAAGAGACGCCGGTCGAGACAGCCTCGACGATGGTGCCGAGGGCATAGAAGAAAATGCCGATGATAACGAGCTCGACGCGACCAAACACATCGGCAATCTTGGCTGCTGCCGGCTATAAGTTTGAAATGGTTAGAATTGCTTCGTTTTCCGTCCATTGGGTCTTGCTTACCTGTGCTGCCGCGCCAATGATGGAACGCAGGACGGTGACGGTGGCTAGCAGACTGTGTTGACTAAAGCTGGCTGTCGCAAGTGGCTGTGGGGGGGAAAGAAGTCAGCATTGCTCTATCCATACCATTCATCGCTCCTTCTCATTTTGTTGTTCAGTGCCAATCAATCCTCTCCCAACACCACCTAGAAATTGACCTTCTCAAACACCAGCACAAACAACACCACCACCCAAAAAAATGCCCTTCTCAAACACTACCACCACCACCACACAAAAGACTCACCTGGTAAGTATACCTAATCGTCCCATCAAGCCCATACGCATACGCGACGAGAAAGATGCTGAAAAACAGCACAATCTTATCCAACCCCGTGAACTGCGCTGAGATAGCCTCGATGCGCTTGACACCCAGCGACTTGGCGCCATAGATGTGCTTAGAGCTGTCGTCGGAGGTGCGTGGCTCGGAGTCGGAGATCTCGTGCTTTGGCTCTTGTTGCTCTTGTGACTGCGACAGATCTGGCTCCTCCTGCGACGACCTCTTCTTCTCGGAGAAGATCTTGGACCACGACATGGCTGGCTGATCCGGGCCCGCGGCGTGGGTGTGCGTGTGTGGGAGGTAGCACCGGCGGGGTAGGTGGGTGAGACTGGGTGAGACTGGGTGAGACTGAGTGATACAATGCGACGGCGAGAGTGAGTGAGAGAGAGAGGGATCAAGAAGCAGAACAAACAAGACAAGACAAAATGCACGACTACGACGAGCAGGACGGAGAGGGAAGGGACGCAGCGGATCTGATAAGATTTTGCAGAGTGCCGATCCCCTTGTTATAGTATTACCGTGTTTACCGTATATTACATAGCTTTGATGCTGGGGGACCCACTACAACCTCGTCGACATGTACGGCCATGCCCACATACGCCCACCCACACACCCACACCCACGCTGTTTTTTTCTCTTTTCCGCTAGCAGCCCAGCTAGCTAGCAGCCAAGAGAGGCATGTGCTAGTTAGTTTGATCGGAGAAAAGAGAAACTAAGTGTCTGGTTTGCACATGAGATGCTGTGATCCTTGTGTGGTGGTGGATGTACTGTTGGACTTTTTTATCTCATCCTTCGTAGACCCTTTACCCTTATACCATCATACTACACTTACCATCATCATCATAACAATCCCCCATAGACCCTTAATACCCTTAAGACGACCCTTCATCCCCCCTCCCCCCCCATAACCAAATAACTAAACAACAAAATATCGCTTATCAGATCCTGCCAGACCCTTGCTCCTACCCATCCGGGCATCAACACACACACGTAATCAGATCCTTTCCCTTCCCTGCCCCTCCCACTATTCCCACTATTCCCACTAGTAGTACCACCGCCAGTACCACCACACTTCCACCCAACATTATCAGATCCCCCCCAATCTCCTCCCTAGCCTCCCATCTCCTCCCATCTCCTCCCAATCAAACAAATTCCCACACCCACCAAGCCCATCCCACTCTCCCATTTACAGTACTCCGTAGAATTACAGTAGCACCATCGCAACACCCCGCCCCGCCCCGTCCTCGGAGTGCGCGAACGTGGCTTGCCATAGCTTCATCTCTTCCCCCGTTGGTCCATCACTCTTTTCGTGGCTTGGCCTTTAATCGCTCATTCGCCAACATCTAGCCCGTAAACATTTCATGGCGTTTCGTCACTGCAGAAATCCCATCGCTAGTGCATAGCCGGAAATTCCCGTCACACACCAACCCACACACGACCAAGCAGCCAACGACGGAATTGGACGGGCGGTCCAGTATCTAATCAGATCATCAGATCATCAGAAAAACCAACGGATCAAATCTCCACCCCTCACACCACTTTTCCTCACTACGGAGTACAGCACTACAGTAACCTTGTTGGTGGCCGCCAGTAGCCATGGCCGAGTTCATGCCGAAAGCGTCTGGGCATCCATCACCCAAGACATTGTCCATTTCCTGTGTCCACTGTAACCAATGGCAGTCAGGCATGAGCAAGTTATTAGCCTTCTTTTTTTATTTTCTTTTTCGCTTCTGCCGGGATTACTGTACTCTACTCTACAATGACCGCACGAATGCCAAGTCACGTGGATCCACTCACTCGCACCTGCCGGCTGTGGAACGCCACGTTTTTTGCTAGGAGGGCAAGAGGGGCAGAGGGGCGAGATGTGTCTGACAGGGCAAGTATATTGATTGACTGAGAAATTTGAGATTTGAGATTCGAGATTTTTTTACTAGGTTACCGGATATGGGGATGCGGGTTTTTTCTCTTGCAGAGTTGGTTTTCCTTGGCAGGTTGGATTGCACGGATATGGAGGGGGTCTAGATGGGCGTGTGTCAAAGACGGGCTCTTCCCGGCATTGGGGACGGGTGGCTTCGGTGTGTGTGTGTGAGGATATGCGGGACGGGAGGGGGTCACGTGTGGGGGTTGTGAGTTGAGTAAGTCGGCGAGGAGGAGGAGGAGGAGGAGGAGGAGACAATCATCGCCTCTTCAGTCTCTTTGACTGACTCGTGGCCTTGCATCTTCATGCATGGATAGTGTTGCGTATGAGGAAGGTCACGAGGGAATCACGTGCTAGAAATCCTAGTGGTGCCAAAGAAGGACTGACTGCCAACATTCAAAACCAACAAGACCATGCATGGTTTACGAGAAAGGTAAGTAACTAAACTGCTCCGCGCGTAATTGGGATTGGTGACGGTGTGAGTGGGTGAATTGCGAGAGGAGGGCCGAGGAGGAGGGGTTGAGGGGGGAGGTGAGGGTTGGTGCGAGAAGGGTAGGACAGCTGCCTTGCTTTATATCCTCTTTCGAGTCCCGCTGACTGAGAGTGAGTTTTGTGCGAGGAGGGAACGGGCGGACGAGTAAGTTGTGAGTAAGGGAGGAACGGGCGAGTAACTAATAAATAAGGAATGAACATCACGTGAAGAAGTAGTTATAGATGAGGAAGGAACGAGGGAAGAAAGTTATATGCAGGGAAGGAACGTGTGAAGAAGTTATAAACAAGAAAGGAACGTGTGAAGAAGTTATAGGTAAGCAAGGAACGAGTGAGTAAGTTGTGAATAGGGAAGGAACGTGCGAATAAGTTGTATGCAAGGAAGGGACGTCCAGAGAAGTTATATACAGGGAAGGAACGACCGGCTAGGTAGGTATGGGTATATATATACATATTGGAAGTACTAACTGATGGGCTCTTACCACCGTATGCACATATATGCAGCATCCTGGTGCTGACTCCCACCCCCCACACCATGTCCTTGCATCCTCAAGGTATATAGGAAGGGAATGGTATTGAGAAAATAACTTCGAGGCATATATGAGGTCTCAGACGTATCTTCGTTATCCAGATACTAGTTTTATATGAAGGTGGGAGAGGTGGCTGACAGTGAGAAGGGTGGCTGGCGGTGGAAAGGGTAATTGGCAGTGAGAAGAGCGGCCGATGGTGAGAAGGGTAATCGACAATGAGAAAGACAGCTGATGGCGAGAACGACAACAGCCCATCATCCCATCTTGAAAATAATTATTAAACGCGGCTCTAGAATGAAGAACATGGAGATTCTTCCCACGAAAACATGACAATCTCCAGTATCGCTTGGAAGTAAGTCATTCTTCTTACAGCTTCTCCTTTCTTCCGTGCCGAGGTGAGCTAGCCGTACAGACAGATGGGGCGGCGGATAGGGAGTATGGGGATTTCGGGGTTGAGGTTGGTATTTCCAGGCACTGTCGACTGCGATTTATACTCAGGATCCTCAAGAGTGCTCAAAAGTATCAAGTATCACCAGACATCTTTTTTCTGCTATAAGCTAGCTACCATACATAGAATTACAATACAGTAACAAAACATAAAACACCATCTATCTCACATCCAACAATCCAGTATATCCATATTCCATGCTCCCGATTCCTTCCCACGAAAGCCCAAGACACCGTCCGTACCCAAACCATGTACATTCCATCATTACCCAGACCCAAACCCAAACCCAAACAACTGACAACCATCATCACCTCACCACCTCACTTCCTCCCCAACCCAACCCCCAACCCCACCACCAACCCCCCACCACCCC